GTTGTATCGTTGGCCTCATCCAATGTTCTGTTAAGCTGTTGCCGTGGAACCCTCCGCTGGAGAAGAGGGTCGTCGGGACCTGGCTCCAGAGGGGGATTTTCGTTCTGTTGTTTGGGCTCAGGGTTGTTCGGTGGATCATTCCGCCGAGCGTCACCTCGAAATCTTTCATTTTCTTCACGCAGAGCGTTGATTTGCACCACGTTGGCTTCTTGAGTTTGTCTCAGCGTGTTGATCTACTCAATGTTGGCCTTATTGGCTTGTCGAAGGACGTTAAGTTGTACTTGCATCTCTTCACGTATTTTCTGTATGGTTTCTTATTGTCGCGGTTGTGCAACGTCTGATCCTGTCGCCATTTGGAGCACTGTTGTATGTAAGCGGTAGAGAACGGATTTTTGGTATCGAATTCCCACGGACGGCGCCAAAGTGTAGGTGCAATTTCTCACACTCGAGCACTAAAAGAAATAAATCAGAGAAGATACACAAAACTTAACAAGGAAACAAATAGGTTTTAAAGAGAGTAACAATATTGGGAATTCGATGTCTCTTCATTCTCATTCGTGCTCTATTTATAGGCTCTGTTTAGATAATTACATGGAGCCGTTTTCTGGCTTTATTCCCAGACGTGGGTATTTATGCTTACTGATCATGTGTATATTTCTTTTATGCCGAGCGTTATGGACTTATGGGCTTGCCGAGATTGGGTTATCCATTGGCCTATATGCCAAGTGGAGCTTCTTTTGTCTAATCGGGCCAAGTTGACATGTGTGTATGTTTTTGGTTGTTGGGCATTCGACTGATGATGGGCTTCTGGGTGTTAATGGGCTGCTCTTTTGCTGCCATGTGGTATATTGTGATTAGTGGAGATTTTTCCCTCCACAATGTTTAAATTATGTAATTATTATATAGACATGATAAAGTCTTGTTAAAAAAAAAAAAAAAAAAAAAAAAAAAAAAAAAAAGCCACTTATTATTAATTAAAATTATATATAAGGATTAGATAGAGATAGAAAAAGGTGTAAAAATTAATCTCGTTCGTTCAGTCACTGTCCATACAATTCAAAGAATTGTGTAAGGATATTATGGTAAATTTGTGCCATTTTGTTTTCAAAAGTAAAATGACTTTTACAAATAGAAGAACTTTTTAAAGGTTATGTTCTATGAAGTAAGGACGCGGATACGCCGACACGGGTACGACACGGATACGACGACACGACAAATTTCAAAAAAATAGGACATAGACAAATTTTACAGGTTATGTTCTATGAAGTAAGGACATGGATACGTCTATAAAATTTTATATATATATATTCATAATTCACAATACCATAAATCTAACCTCCCAAAAAAAATACTGCAATAAAAGAAATACTTCAATTAATTAAGAACAAAGCAATTTATCAACAACTTTATAGTTTACATTTTACACACATCCACAAATATAATTGTTCTGATTTCTCTCTGTTTTTCTTGCTACGGTCTAAAAGTTTATTTAATTCCAGTAATGAGATGAATGAATCAAATAAAAAAATAAATATAATGAAATCATAAAATTTAATAAAAGTAAAAGTTCAGAATCTCAGACAAAAGAGTTAAACTTCTAAAATTAAATTAGGTACCCCATTTTTCTTTAAAAAAATTACAAAATATACCCCACCGTGTCCACTTGGTGTCCCCCGCGTGTCCAAGCTGTGTCCACCCCGTGTTCAATAAAAAATAATTTATGGACACTTCACAGAAGTGTCCACTTCACAGAAGTGTCGGACACGTGTCCAAGCCTCAGACACGTGTCCGACACTGATACGGAACCCTGAGAAGGGTGCCCGTGCTTCATAATGTTCACCAAACACCTTTTTCACCTCAAATTCATTTCAATGAAAGCATTCTTGTAAGTCCTTTACAGTGAAATGACTTTTTGATTTTGGAAGCTCCCTTCAAACCCTCTTTTCCTTACAAGGGTTATAATAATTTCCTAACTGACAGAGTTACTAAAACTTTGTGATGCAATTAAATTAGTTACCCAAGATTGTGACCAAAGTGAAAGTGAAATTACTTTACCATTTTAATTAATTTTTAGAGTAAATTACATTGACATTCCCGAAAGTTTATCACATTGACAGTTATACACAAATTGGGTCTTTTTTTTTTAAATAATGACACTCTCCCAAAGTTTGATAAAGTTAACAAAAAAACCCCTCAGTTTTAATAAAGTTAACAAAGACACCACAATAGTCACATGCCACATCTTTAACTAATGAATTGACCCATTTTGGATAACAAAATTACCTTTTTAACCTTGTATAATATTTATAAAAATAAAATGAAAAATCAGACATCACCCATTTGTATCTCTCACCCAATGCCTTTTTAGTTCTGAACCAGGTGGTTCAACATTAAACGAAGGACCTCTTAATTTTTTGTTTTTTTATGATCACAATCAGTACCTCCAGATCAAATACTAAACCTCATCCCAACTTCTACTTCCGGTGAGTTCTACTCAGTTTAGTCAAATAAAAAAAGTTGAAACTAAAAGAAATGTCAAGATAGACGCATACACATTTACGAATGGATTTCATGGTGGGTTCGTGATTTCCATTATGATTGAAATCATAGTGGAGTGGTGGTAGGGGTGGTGGAAGTGATGGTGGTAGAAGTGTAAAATTGGTTTCTGGGCAAGCAAGCGTCTTGTTGTTGGATTCGAACCTTGATCAATCTCTACCCTTACAAATGTCTACAGGCTCAGCTCCGAAATCCCAATTGGTTTTCCTCGGTTTCAACAACATCCCTTCAATTTTCCGGACGCTGATATTACCATCACCATCGTCATCTAACCCACCCTCATCCACCTCATCTATATAAGGGTGATAGAGTATTGGGTTTTATTGTCAACAATTAGGGCTTTAATAACAAAGGAGAGAGAGAAATAGTTTGCAATTATTGTGGATTTGGGGCTTCATTAATAGAGGAGAGTGAAAAAGATGTTGCACTGGGTGCATTAAGAGAGAGAAAGTTAGGGCGGTGGTGGTAGAGAGAGATTGGGGCGGTGGTGTAGAGAGAGAAGCGGCGCCGCCATGAGCAAAAGAGGATGGAGGCGGTAGTAGGTGCGAGGAGTGACCCATGGCGGGGATATATACATATACACATATATAATTGAGGCATGTATATATATGTGTGTGTGTATATAGATTGGAAAGTTATGGTATGTTTATATATATATATATATTTTGTGTTCAAGGGTATTTTTGCATTTTCAATACAAAAGTTAAGGACAAGGGGTGTCATGATAATTTTGTCAAAAGTTTTATCCCTGAGTAATTTAGCTAAACCTTAGGTAGGCTAGAGTAATTAACCCTTTTATTTTTGTTCAAAACAAACAAACACGATAGTCATTTTAAGCTTTTTCTTTCTCCAATTTCAATCACCAAATTCTCTTTGGCAAGGGTTTTTTTTTATTATTATTATTATTTTTTTTTAGGGACCTTAACACTCACAATCTTGTGATCGACCGAAAGACAAGAATGCTTAAAATAGCAGATCTTCTGATCGTCATATACTCCAAATGAAGAAGTTTGGTCAGGAGTAGGAGTAAGCAAGCAAACAAACTGGCATGAATATTATTATCACCAACGGAGCCCTCGGAAGTTGTCATTAGCTGTCGACGAAGACTAGCTAGACTTGCTATTGGTAAGTTTGAGCGTCAGTTATTTTGGTATAAACAATATCTCAAAGTACACAATTTTAGTTAATTTTCCTTCTTTTTTTGTTTGTATTTACACTTCCAAATTTGTGTGTTTACAGAAGATGTTGCAGTATGAGCCCTCAAAAAGAGAATTTCAGCAAAGAAAGCTATGGTACAAGAAGGCCGACCCTTTGAAAGAAATACATTGACCCTTAAGCTGAATCAAGTAGTGGGACTAGGTTTAACTCAAATTTTCTGTGTTCCTTAACTTGAGCGCTTTTCAGTGATGTAAAAAAATGTTGTTCAGCCTTTAGTCTAAAACTACTGTCTTGGTCTTAAATTTTCTCTAATGAAATGAAAAAAAGAAGACCAAACAATTCAATCAGGTAAAAAAGCAGCAAGAAAACCAATTGCAAGTTGATCATCAAGTAACTCCAACAAAGATAGAATCAAACTCATGAGAAATTTGAACCTGTTTCCAAAAGAAGAAGTGGAAAGTAATTCTCCAAATACAAATTCAAACACTAAAAAATTCAAGTCTTTAGCAAAAAACTCAACTGCTGAAATAAAACACTTACAGAATTAAACTCAGCAATCAAACATTTAACAAAATCTGCAAGTAGATCTTCTTTTGCAAGTGGTTTGGCCTCCTCCTCATCAAAGTGAACGGTCGTCATTTGCAGAATTCAAATGAATCCATCATAGCCTTCACAAATCCCATGACCCTCTGCCTCATGACCTGCTTTACCATAATACATGCCCCATTCACTTATTTCTAGGCGCTCTATTTTAATCTCAACCTCATACTCCCTAAACATAGCAGCCCATGTTGCCTTTCCCCTCACATATGATCCGTCAAAATTCATAGCAAAGCAACCAAAACGGGGACATTCCCATTTGAAGGACTGAATTGGAGTTATCAACAAGCTTTCAATGTAGCCATCACCAACTTAAGTGTTAGAATATTTAACACCGTAAATACGATGCTCTTCCAATATCTTTTGGTAGTCACTAGCAAAGAAGAGCTTGTTATCATCCTTGAAAACATTAGGATCTAAATTTACCAGTTCTTAACAGGGCTAGGCTTTGTCATATCATTAGCCTAGCCCTGTTAATTGTAACGACTCAAAACTACTACTTTTTAAATAATAAAAAATTCGGCATGACCTCCCCTAAAAATAGGCCTATCACAACCTGTTTAATTGCATTTTAACCTGTCATGGCTCAAATTCCGAATTCACGGCAACAAAAGATAATGATACAACCAACTAATCTAGACAATGCTTCAAACTAGGATTATCCATCCATTCATCAACAAGTTGCATACTATCAAATCCCCATCCAAAACATCATCAATACTTTAGTTATATTACATGACAAAGTTCCACAAAATAATTATACACCTTTGCACTTCTAGTGTTTTACAAAATAATGGGGAATATACAAAGATACAAAAGTGGACTTCTAACGCCGTTCAAGCTTGAGGTGGGTTGTCATCCACCAGTTCCTTTCCAAGACCTGAAAAAAAATATATATAGATATAGGGGTGAGTATATAGCTCAGCAGGTGACACTTAAGACACAATTCTTGTGTCCTAGTGAATCCAAATAAAGCATAGGCCAATGGGAGATTGGGGACATGCATTGAAGGGGAAAAATAATTACAAGTACAAGTCAAATTCAATCACACACAAATGCAAATGGAGTGAGATGCAATGCATGTTAAAGTCACTCCCCGTTTTCATTCTCAAAACCATCACGTTCAAAGTTAATGTAACCCCCTTTGGTAACCCCGCCGCGACGAGAGGAGGATTGGCTACCGTCCCTAGGCCCTTGGTGACCCCGTGGCGCCGTCGAGGGGCCCGAATAGCTCAACCACGCTAGGGTACTCTCCCTAGTCCTCCCTAGGCTACATTAACCTCCGGCCCGTTGGTAACCCTGCAGCGACCGGGTTTGTCAAAACCAAATTTTTTTTTTTCCAAAACATTCATTCCCAAATCCCCATTTTCATTTCAAGACAACCACTTCCCTTTTTCATGCAACCCAATGAGATGTAGGCTCATGTCATGATCTCAATATAATGACAAATGGGAACTTAGCACAATAATAAATAAGCATGTTCTCATGGCATCATTATAGCATGTTAGTAACCTCAAAAAAAAATGTAAACAACCATCACATAGACATACTTTTCATTCTACCATGTTATACACATTTACATAACTAGCATGTTGTCAATTAAATCATTTTAATCAAAATCAACAACAATTAAACATGCTATAACACACATAGAGGAGCATGATTCATTATAGAGCAAGATTCCATGGCTTAAGATGTCCCTACCTCACAATCCAAGCCGAAATCCCTAGAATAGGTCCTCCAAATTCGAGCTCCAAGGAAGACTCAAATCTGGAAATTGATAGTATGGATACTTAGAGCTCGCTACAAGCTTTGTTTCGCCTCAAACGGCACCTCAATCCGACAAAAGATGAAGGAGCAATCAACAATGGAAGTTGAAGTGAAAAGAAAAGAAAAAAGAAAAAAAGGAGAAGCTGAGAGCAGTCAGGAGAGAGAGAGAGCAGCAGAGACCAATTTTGGTCTCACAAATCACTTAAAAAGTGATGTGGGTCCCACTTTATTTTATATTTCTTTTCTCTTTTTCTTTTTCATTTAAATCACACACCACACACACACAATTATGTACACAGACTTCACATAGCCTTCACAAATCCCATGACCCTCTGCCTCATGACCTGCTTTACCATAATACATGCCCCATTCACTTATTTCTAGGCGCTCTATTTTAATCTCAACCTCATACTCCCTAAACATAGCAGCCCATGTTGCCTTTCCCCTCAAATATGATCCATCAAAATTCATAGCAAAGCAACCAAAACGGGGACATTCCCATTTGAAGGACTGAATTGGAGTTATCAACAAGCTTTCAATGTAGCCATCACCAACTTAAGTGTTAGAATATTTAACACCGTAAATACGATGCTCTTCCAATATCTTTTGGTAGTCACTAGCAAAGAAGAGCTTGTTATCATCCTTGAAAACATTAGGATCTAAATTTACCGGTTCTTAACAGGGCTAGGCTTTGTCATATCATTAGCCTAGCCCTGTTAATATCCGGTAAATTCAGATCTAATGTTTTGGATAAGTAACACTACAAATCTCAATCGTCCTTATTTCAAGGATGACAACAAATTTTTGGGAAGAGCATCGTATTTACGTTGTTAAATATTCTAACACTTAGGTTGGTGATGGCTACATTGAAAACTTGCTTATAACTCCAATTCAGCACTTCAAATGGGAATTTCCCCCTTTTGGTTGCTTTGCTATGAACTTTGACGGATCATATTTGAGGAGAAAGGCAACATGGGCTGCTATGTTTAGGGAGTATGAGGGTGAGATTAAAACTGAGTGCCTAGAAACAAGTGAATGGGGAATGTATTATGGTGGTCATGGGATCACGTTGATAAGATCCCCATAATCATGGAATCACGTAAATTTTGGCATATTTTCTGTTTTTCTTTGATTTGGTTTCCTTTTTTTGTACCCTATTCTTGTATATAAATATAGCTCTTGGCTCTCGATTTGTGCAAGCCAAAACCCAAAACTTCTTTTGGATTACTAATCAAAATAGAGTCAATCAACGTTATGACAAAGTCTTGTTTGCTCCAAGTAACAACCAATCTGCTTCAACCTAGATCAGTCCTTTCCATGGAGGAGGCTAATTCTCTTAAGATGACTTGCACATTTCAGAAAGTGAAGGATGTTGCGATGGCTATGGCTGCAGATAAAACTCCTGGACCTGATAGCATCCCAGTACGATTTTTTCAGCAGCATTTTAACACGGTTGGCATGAATTTAACTAATGCAGTGAATCGTTTTTAATCTGCTGCTAACTTGCTCAAGTACTTTTATTACATTGATACCAAAGAAGGATCATGCTGCCAGAACACCAGATTTTTTTTTGATAAGTCAGAACACCAGATTTTATACCTATTACTTTATGTAATGTCACTTACAAGGTGATTACAAAACCTTTGGCTACTAAGACACTCTAATCTTCTTCCAAAGCTGATTGGAAAGGAGCAGGCTACTTTTACTAAGGAAGACTAATACAAGATAATATTATTATTTCCCATGAATTGCTTAGAGGCTTCCCAAATAAAAGATGTCCTAAGAAATTGACTTTGAAAGTAGATCTTACCAACGCTTATTACTCAGTTATGTGGGACCTTTTAGAAGAGGTTATAAGAGTAATGGGGTTTGGTCAGAAATGGATACAATGGGTTATGCAGTCTATTCATTCTACTTGGTATTCTATATTGATAAATGGTTCTCATTATGGATTTTTCCAACCTAGAAAGGGTTAAAGGCAGCGCTGCTCATTATCCCCCTTTTCTTTTCACAATTGTTACAGAATATTTTCTCTAATATGACTGCTCATAAAGTAAATGCAGGTCTAATTAAGATTTCTAAGCTTGCCGAGAGAATTGGCTTGAAGATTTATCACCTGCTCTATGCAGATGATCTCCTCATTACCTCTCAATGTGAATATAGAACAGCTATTCATATTTCACAAGCCTTGAGGAAGTTTTCAACCTTATCTCGGCTCTTCATAAATTAAAATAAGAGTACTTTATCCTTCTCCAACTCTATTAGACGGAGGAGGAGAATTGAAGGACTCTTTCAATACAAACAAGGTTGTTTTCCAGTTATTTAGGCATGCCTTTGATGTGTCATGGCCTAAATAAAATTTCATGCAAAACTTCGGTGGACAAAATGACCTCTAAACTGTTTTCTTGGAATGGAGCCAACCTATGTCTTGTAGGAAGATTAGAACTTAGCAAAGCAGTTCTATATTCATATTCTTTGTATCGGTGTTCTGTTTTCAAGCTTCCATCCTCTATTATAAAGGTGATTTGAGAGGGAAATTTCTTATGGGGAACAAATGCTGAAAAAGAAGGAAACTTCAGCATCCGAATTGGAATTGGGTTACCTCACCAAAGAAAGAGGGTAGTTTGGGACTGAGGAAATAGTTTATATTAATGCAGCCCTTACTTGTAAATTGCTGCGGGACTTTCTCAGATCCAAAGACTGCTTATGGGTGGCCTGGTTTAAGAAAAGGTATTCTGATGACTTCTGGTCATCAAATTCTTCTCTTTCTCATTCTATTATATGGAGAAACATGCTTAAAACTTTAATCCGCTTATTGAGTAGAAGGTCCCTGACCTCATCTTAGGGGCGTGAATAAAGAAGAGGCACCTTAAAAAGAGAAGAGGATAAGGATTGTCCTAAAAGCTTTACTCGTGTGAGATATCAAAAAGATCAACAAATTAAAACTAGTTTAGACAATTTCAATATCAACTTTGCCAAATAGAGGAATGGCGCCAAATTGACATTTGATAGCACCAGTTTAATTCATACGAGGGAACAGGGCAATATTGATAATATTAGTATCAACAGTCCCACCATTGATAACACAAGGATCAATAGTCCCAACTTGAAGAAATTGGCGAAAATTTACCGTATTCATTTTCTATTTCAAGGGCCTCTAGAAGGAAAATTTCATCCTTCTAGGCTAAACCAGTCCAAGAATAGTCAGGATTCTTTGACTTATCCATCACATTTCTCAACAGGAATAAACCGCCAGCGAGTATCAATCAAAGCATAGAGGAATCACAAGGAGAATATGCAAGAAGAGTAAGAAAGAAATAAAGAGCAAGAATCATACCAAAGGAAGAATGACGCCAAAAAAGGCTAAGGAATGCTGTAAAATACAGGAACGGTTGTCAGAAAACTCCTTAATTGAACTAAAGAATAAACTAAAACAGAAGCACTTCAATATAATTTGTTCATCAAACAAAGAGAGACCAATTGCAGTAGGAATCTTTTCCAATTATAGTAGGATATTCAGTGTTTGTATTCTCATACAAATAAACATGACAAATTGACAATACGCATGAAATTATACAGAATTTAATACGCATGGACAAAAATCAATTATTTAACAAAAAATTGATGATGCATAATTCATTGAAATTCAAGGAATGAATTTCTCAACAAAAACTCAACTCAAAGAAGGAACCAAAGCGCTGACGGAAATTACGAAGATTGTCAGAAAGGGATTTTGTTTCGCCGGCGTGGTGGATTGGTGAGTCAGAAGCTAGTGTTTTGGTTCAGTTAACGGTGACGAAAATGAGAGAGAGAGAGAGAGAGAGATCTGTGTGCAAGTAATGAACAAGAATTTTTTTTGGTGTTTAGACTTTGAAGGCTTCCGCTACAGTGTTTGTTTACAAGTGCTTAGACAATTTATAAACAAAATAAATAGTATCAAACATTATATTTCAGATAATGTTTAAAAAAAAAGAATCTACACAAAACATAAACGGTTTTCAGACTTGCCTTAGTTAATAGATTTCTTTTAACAATATATTATTCATGTATTATTTTTATATCAATTTATACATTACACCACTTACATGTAAAACTTTTTTTTTTTTGACAAGTCACTTACATGTAAAACTAAAAAACTTGGTTCAAAAATATCTGGAAAAGAGACACATCTAACCATAAGAATTTGCCTCCATTTTGTCCAACCTGCACCAAAGCTACTAGTTATATCATTATGTATCTCTCCATCATTTTGTATCTATCTCTCCATCCTTTTGTATTATGGATCCTACTAGTATCATTAGTTGATCTATTCTTATTTTTGTTAATACGTAAATACTTTTCTAGCCCTCGTGTGCCTAGTTTTTCATATAAGACATTTAGTCAAATTCGTATGGCTTTACATACTATCTTCTTTGCTTCATCTTTGAGTTTATAATACGAGTCCAAGTCTTCTTGTAAATTACTTTTTTGTTCTGATTTAAAGTTTTTCCATTTTTTGTCAAATTATCTGTTGCACTTCCTAACTCCACCACCGTGTCTCTTACTTAATGAACTTCTCTCCTTTAGTTTCACCCAAAATTTCTTTACCCTTATCCCCAATAATTTTCCTTCGCTTTCACTGTCCCAACACTTAAGTATGTCCTCTACCTCTTTGTTGGTGATTTTATCTATCATTTCGTATGTTAGTTTCGTTTCCTTCTAATTCTTCTATAGGGTACTCCTCATTGTAATAGATTTTGAAAATAATTCGTCCTATTTAATGCCACTTTCTTTGACTAACATTATGTTGTATATGTTTTTAATACATCAAATTTTATTCAAGTCTTTAGGTGATCTATCCTTATTTTTTGTTAATTTGTAAATATATCTCGCACTCTTTTGTGAATAGTTTTTCATATAAGACATTTAGTGAGCTTTGTTTGGCTTTACTTACTATCGTTTTTTCCTTCACCTTTGAGTTTATTATACATGTCTAAGTCTTCTTGTAGATTACTTTTTTGTCATGCCTTAAAGCTTTTCTATTTTTTGTTGAATTATTTGTTTCACTTCCTCACTCCACCACCGTCTTTCTTACTTAATGAACTTCTCTCCTTTAGTTCCACCCAAAATTTATTTCGCCTTATCCCTAATATAATTAGCCATTTTAGGC